TTTTTTTTTTTTTTTTTGTAACATTTAAGATGTAGTTTGTTTTTTCCATTAAATATATTTATATATTTCCATTTATTTATGTAACTATAAAATTAAAATCTATATATAGACGTAAAAAAAAAAAAAAAAGAAAAAAAAAAAAAAACGAATTATTATAAATTTATTCAATTTTAAGATTTACATTACTTGTTATTGTTTAGTTTTATAATTATAAAAAAGATGAATATATTAAATTTTTTAAAGAATATAAAATTTCAATTAGATAAAATAAATATAAGTTTTGTTTTTTTTCAGAATTTATTTCTTTTTAATTTTCCACTAAAAAACATTGAAATAAGAAATATAATTTTTGAATTTAATTTTATAAAAGAAGTGTTTAGTTTTTTTAATAAAAAAGAAAAAAAAAGAAAAAAAAAAGAAATATGTTTTGATAAATTAAATATATTATTTGATTTTGAAGATTATGAGAAATATAATTCTTATTATAATTATTATTTTAAATTGGATAAACCTAATTATTTTAAGGAAATTATTTCTTATATTTGTTTTAAAGTATTTATTTTGTTTTTAAAAATACTTTTAAAATTTTATTATATTAGAATAAAAAAAATTTATATAAAAATATATTATAATCATAAACATAGGCATAATAAATATTGTGATAATAATAAAAATATATGTAATGGAAAAAGTAAATATCATCTTTTATTTTATGATATTTATCTTTTACAAAATAAAGTAGGAAAAAGTAAAAATCTCATAAAGGAAAAAGAAGAAGAAGAAAAAGAAGAAGAAGAAAAAGAAGAAGAAAAAGAAGAAGAAAAAGAAAAAGAAAAATCAGTTAATAATAATAATGACAAATTTAGCTATATTTTTACATGTGAAAAAATTGTTTTTAATAAAGAAAATAACAGAAATAATTTAATTTTAATTAAAAATTCCTTTTTTTTTATTGAAGAAAAAAAGATATATTTTCCAATTTTTTTTATTAAAATAAAATTATGTGAACTTAAAGAAATTTTATTTTTAATAAGTAATAAAAAAAAAAATTTTTTGTATGATTTAATAAAAATTGTTAAAAAGGAAAATTTAGAGAATATAACTAATCATAAAAACAGAAATAATTTTAATCTTTTTTTAAGAAATTTCCTCATTTGTTTTAACAAATTATTTATCAATGTTCATTTAAAAAATAAAATATTAAAAAATAAAATAAAAAATATATATTTTAAAAGTGTAAAAAATGAAGAAGGATATTATAATTTCAAATTCATTTTTAAATATTTTTTTTCTTATGCAGAAAAAAATTTAATTTTAATTAGTGAAAGAAATAATACTTTAGAAAAAAAAATATCACTAAAAAATTCTTTAATTAAAAATAGCAATAAATACAATTTAAAAAACATAGATGTAGTATATAATAAATTTAAGGTGTTTAAAAGAGAAAAAAATGTGATATTTGAAAAATTATATAACAAATATTATTTTAATTTAAACAATTTGTTTTTTGTTTTTGAAATAATAGAATTTTTATATATTTATCAAGTATTAGAAGATGAATTTTTATTATATTGGTGTAATGAAAATGTAAAAGAAGAAAAATACTATACCAACAATATTATGAATAGCAATAATATTTATTTTATATGTATTAAGAATAGTTTAATATATATAAATAAAAATATAAATAAATTTGTTTTATTATTTCAGAATTCTAAATTAAAAAATTATGAAGAGGAATTATGTTATAATACTTGTCTTTATGATAGAGGAGAAATAATAAAAATAGAAATAGAAAAGATATACAATTATAAAAAAAAAAAAAAAGGATTTTATGAAAATTTTAATAATAATTGTATAACACAGTATGATAGTAAGAATGATAATTATACATTTCCTACTTATGAAGACAATATTTTGTATGTATTAAATGAAAAATCCTACTATTTTTTTGTTGATAATATTACATTTAAAAGTGTTTATTATAATAATAATATCTTATATGAATATATATTAAATGAAAAAACTAATATTATTTTAAAAAAGGAAAAAGGAATAAATCTGATAACAATTTATTTAAATAATTTCATATGGAATTTATCATCATTACACATAAATTTCTTTTATTATATATACACAGTTTATTGTATAAATATAAAAAAGAGATTATATTGTATTAGAAATCCATTAAGAAAAAAGAATAAAGTAGTAAAAAATGCCAATTTAAATAATTCATTTTTTTTTATAAGTTTGATAGGTTGTAACTGTACATTAAAGTTATTTTGTATTTCTTATAATTTTGAAATAGATAATAATAACATAAATATGTTAAAGAAAGAAAAAGAAAAAGAAAAAGAAAAAGATAAACTGACATATATATTATTTACATTTGATTTGAAATATATTTTAAAAATTAATGAAGAAACAAAAAAAATAAATAAAACTAATATTATATATATGAATTATTTTTATTTTTATAATGCAAAAATTCAAGTAGAAGACTGTGATAATATATTAAAGAATTTGTGTATATTTAAGAAAAAGAAAAGAATAAGTAATAACAAAACATATAATATTATCACCAGTAATTATGATTTTTGTATCAAAATTAAGGATAAGAAAATTTATGTAGATGTAGTAAAAAAAGCAAAAATAATATTTTTAAATTTCATTATATATCAAATTTATTTAGCTGTTAGACGAATTATTTATTTATCTAGTGTAAATATCAAAAACAAAAACGTGATAAAAAAATTTAAAAAAGAGAAAAAAAAAATCAAAATGAATGTGTTTAACTTATTAAAAAAAAAAATTCATTATGCAAATAATAAACATAAAAATAATTTTAATTATTTAAATAGTTTTTTTAGTGATTTTTATATAAATGAAGTTGATGATAAGTTTTTATCAATGAAATACTATTATTTGAAACATTTTCATAAGAATAATTTTAAATATAAAATAAAATCAGTTTATAATAATGATACTAGTTTAAAATATTTAATTCAGATTAGGTTAAAATGTAAAGCAATATTTTTATCATTCGATCATTCTTTAAATTGGAATTATTTAAGAAAGATGGGAAATAATGAATTGTTAAAAAATCAGTTTAAAGTAAATCTAATTGGTAACATATGTTTATTTTATTTTGATATATTGAATAAAAATAATGTAGAATTAAACAGATTTATAAAATTATATATAAATTTTTATAAATTAAAGTTAAAGAAAATTACGAATTTTAATAAAACTTATACTATTTTATATTTTAAAAGTACACTTCAACATGATAAATATGATGTTTTTCATAAAAATTTTAATAAAATATTTATAAAAAAAAAAATTAACCATAATATAAGTAATAAAACCAAAAATTACTTCATTTTAGTATCAAGTATAAATAATATTGATTTTACACATAAAATAAATAATTTTTTTTTTAAGAATAGACATAATTTTTGTTTAGAAAACTCAACAAAAAATAAACATTTCATAGATGAAATAAAAACATTTTATAAAAAAATAGAAAATGTTAAGAAATTTAATACAAAAACAAATATATATGGAAATAATGCATCAATTATATTTAAAACGAACGATTTCTTTCATTTTTTGAATAAATATTTGTTTACTGATTTTTTTAATTTATTTTCATTAAAGAATTTTTGCGAAATAAAAGTTTTAAACAATGAAGAAAATTTTTTTTTTGAAGAAAAAGAATTATACGATAAATTTTCATTTAGGAATTATATGATTTTAAAAAATCAAATGATAAATTATGAAAATAAAAATGAATTATTAGAAATTGAAGTATTTCAACCAAATTTAATTAACAATAAAATTAATTTAAATAATTTGTATAAAATTAAAAAATACAATATGAAAAATATTTTAGTGAGTTTAAATAAATATAATATAATTTTTGATAATGCAGTTTTATTTATACCTTCAATTATAGATAATAAAAACTTTATAATAGGAAAGAGTAATTTTTATATAAAAAATAAAATAATATTTAAAAAGAATAAAATAAAAAAAAGAATTTTATTATATGATAAAATTTATGTTTATTTTTTGAACAGCTATTTCTATTCTAATGAAAAATGTAATATAATGAAAAATGTAAATATCTTATTAAATTATTATAGAAATGTTATATATAAAATAAATTTATTTTCATTATTTATATATGCTACAGGAATAGTATATTTATCACCTATTAATTTTAAGCTATTTCAAGATATTTTTATAGAAAATATATTAAATAACAATTTAGAATATTTTTATAAAAAACTATATAAAAATAAAATTGAAAATGAATTATATGAACATAATAATTTAATAAATAAATTAAATTCTAATAATAACAATAGTACTAATAACAAAAATGATGATAATCAAATTAATATTAATCGTTCTGGAATCAAAGGTTTTAATTTAAATGAAAAGAAATTTCTAATAATTAAAGAAGGAAGAAAAGATATAAACATTATTTTATATTTTTTTAATATTCACATATACTTAGAAAATGATCATTTAAGAAATAAAATAAGTTATATTTTTAGCAAATATACATATATTAAAATTATAAAATATTTAAGAGAACATAATATTTTAACATATATTAAAGGAATAACTCCTATTGTTCTGAATTTTTTTTATGAATATCCATTTGATGTATTATTACACTATAAAAAAATTAAAAAAAGTAATTATGTGAAAATTCTTTCAAGTATGAATAATATTAAATATATTTCAGATTTTAAAATATTTGATTTATTTTTAAAAAATAAATTATATAATTACAATAGGTTACAAAGAAAAAAAAAAAAAAAAAAAATGTATGAAATTTTTTATAATAGATTTAAAAGAAATGATATGGCATTAGATATTATAAATGACATACATATAAAAGTTAATAGAGTTTTTCTAAGTGCTGATATTTTTGAATTATATAATTTATACGTATTTTATTTTATTGATGATAGAAATATATTTATTAACCAAATAGAAAAGTTACTAAAATTTGAGAGATATGTAAAACATTTATATAACAATTTATATATAGATAAAAGAAAAGAATTAATTTCAAAGAAAAGTGAAACATATAATGTGGATAGATGTAAAGGAAAATACAGAAATTATTTCAATTTAAGAAAAATAAAAATGAACGTATTAAGAAAAATACAAGAAAAAAAACCAAATAATTCGTTAATATACATGTATAAAAAAATGATAAAAAATTTAAATTCATTTGATTTCAATAATTATAATTGTATAATAAAAACTAATAATATATATAAGACCATTATAAATGTTAAATATATTAATTTTATGTTTAATTTTTTATTTTATGAAAATATTTTAAGTACAGTAGAAAAATTGTGTAAAAGGAATACTGAGAAATATAACAAAAATATATTCAGTTTAATTTTTAAAGGATCAGTAGATTTGTGTATATTATTTAATTTGAGAAAAAGTATATTTTTGAATTTTGTTAAAAATTCTAAATATGTATTTTTTAATAATTTTATTTTTGATAACTATTTCGAAAAAGAAAAGGAGAAAGAAATTTTGTCTAAAAAAAATATGGAAGATTTAAAAAATATTTTATTAAATATATATGAAAACATAAAAGAAGAATTAAAAGAATTCATCTACTTTAATTTTAATTTAAGAAAAAAAAAAAACAATTTATATTTATTAAATAATAACTCCTTTTATTGTATAAGTAAAAATATAGATATGGGAATATTTATAAAAAATGAAAAATTTGTATATTTTTATAATAATATAAAAAAGGTAAAACTTAATCATTTTTATTTTAATAATATTTTGTTTAATAATTTAACAGAGAAAAACGTCTACATAAAAAAAAATGATAATAAACACAATAATAAAAATAATAAACATGTTATTTATGATGTGCAAATAATAAATAATAAAAATGAAAATATAATTAAAAGCAATAATATCTCGAATTGGGAATATGAAAGGAATAATTTAATAGGATTACCAATTAATAATAATAATATTAATATAAATAATAATAATATAAATAATAATAATATAAATAATATTAATATAAATAGTAATAATAATATAAATAGTAATAATAATATAAATAGTAATAATAATATAAATAGTAATAATATATATAATAATTATAATGGATACAAGAAAGAGAATGAGAATAAATTTTTAGAACCAAAATATGTGAATATAACTTTAAACTATGTAAATATAATAATAAAATTAAAAGATTTTTTATATTTAATAAATAAGTTTTATGAAATGACATATTTTTTAAATTATTATGAAGAAATGAATGTATGCTTTTTTAAAATATGTGAAAAAATATTGAAAAATAAATACCTATGTAAAATAAATAGAACGAAGGAATTTAAATATTCTACTTTGATAGTTAATACTTTAATTAGTAATTTGCATATTCACATATATGAAAACATATATTATCGTAAATTAAAAAATTGGGAAAAAAAAAATATAATTTATTTAAATACTAAAGGAACATATGAGTATATTTCTTGTAATAAAAGAAATGATACTTTACTAAAAAAGCATGAATTTAATTTAATTCTTGACTTATTTTTTTCAGAAAATAATATATATGAAGAGTTTGCAAAGAAAATTCAAATACATTGTATTTACATAAAAACTAAAGGACAAGATAATTTTTTTGTATTTTTTAAAAATCCTTTAAATGTATTTTTAACCAAAAATTCATTTAGAAAGTTTCTATACTTATACGATGAGTTAAAAAATGAAAAAAATTATAAAATGACTGAAAAAAATGTATGTAAGATATCATCCTATAAGAAAAAAAGAGTAGATAATAACAAACATAATAAATCTAGTAAATTGGGAGAATTGGAGAAGATAAAGAAAAATGATAAAAATAAAAATCATTTAGATTACGATAAAGTTGTAGAAAACATTTCTTCTCATAATTTAGACAATTTAATTTTATCATATAAAGAGAAATATTCTATTTTAAATTATACAGAAAATTTGAAAGAACAAAGAAAAAAAAGTTATATTGAAAGTAGATATTTTAATATATCTCATAATAATTACGTAATAATAAATTATATCAAAGAAAAGATTCATTCATATAAAAATAAAGAAATAAAAAACAAAAAAATGAAAAAAGGAGATCCTTTACTTATGTTTTATTTAAAAAAAGGAAATATAATAATATTTCCTTCATTAAAAGAAAATATCACAAAAAAAAATAATTTAATTATGATTAAAAAAAATAATTTTTTTAATTTTATTTCAAATATATGCATATTTAATAATTCCAATTATGATATGATATTTTTATATAAAAATTATAAATGCTTCTTATATTCAAAAAAAAATTCTTATATAACATCTTTTAATATGACAAATGATAACTTTTGTATACTTATCTTTTACAAAAAAAAATTATATTTTTCAGAACAAATTAATTTAGATTTATTAAAAAAAGGAAATTTTAAAAATAAAGAAAAAGCATTACAAATTATTCAAGATAAAAAAAATAACTTAAGTAAAATAAGTAACATAAATAAAATTGATAGCATATATTGTATACTTAATAATTTAATATATTTAAAAGAAATTGAAGATATTAGAAAATTTTTATTTATAAATTCTGATAAAAATAATAATCATAAAGATGATGTAAATAATTTTCATTTTAATAAATATAATATATATAATATTTTAGATAGAAAATTTATAAAACTAATATTAAATGAAGATTATGTAATTAGTTTTAGGAATAATAATAGTTTTATATTAGATTTAACTATAATTAAAAATGAAAATAGTTTATATATGCATATAGATACAAAAATGAAATTAAGAAATTGCTTACCATTGAAAGTGTATTATAAATGTGAAAATAAACTGAAGGTTATAAGTCACTTTAAGCAGAAAGATATTTTTTATAATGACTTTAATTTGAATGTTAAATTTAACGTATTATATGGAAACAAATTAGAAATATATGAAGAAATAGAAGATGGAAAAAAAAAAAGTAAAAACATAACTAACCAAACTGGAAATAGCCATATAAAATTATATTACACTAATATTATAAAAAAAAACAATGAAATTATAATAACATGTTATACATTAATTTATTTATATAGTTTTAATATAAAAAATATAGAGTTTGGTAAAAAGAAAATACATTTTATTAATGATATAATTAATAAAGAAATGAATAAAATAATATTTACATATTCTTTAAAAGAAATGAAAACATTCATTGGTTTTTATAATGAGCCATTTGATAATGTTATTTTTGAAAATAATAAAATAAGCAATATATCAATTGATAATTACACAGAGGTAAATATATATGAGAATGTAAATAATCAATTGTATGTTTCAAGTTATATATTAAATTACATCAAAAATAATAATAATAATAATAAAATTAATTCATTATTAATTATTTATCCACAATATATTTTAATAAATAACACAAATTATAATTTAGTTATGTTTGCTACAAATAATGTAAATTATGTTTTTCAAAGAAAATCTAAAAATGTGATTAATTTAATTGGAAAAAATGAAAAAAAATTTTTTTTTAAAATAAAAAACACTAATCATTTTAACGATTATATTTTTTTAAGTGGATTAATTGATATATCTAAAGAATCATCATATATTTTTTGTTTCACTAAATTGTATGAATTTCAAGAAAAGAAAAGAAAAGATAATAAAGTTAATAAATTAGAAAAGTTAGGTAAATTCAAAAATAAAAAAATTTTCATTAATTTAAAAATTAGCATATGTGAAGGAAAAAGGTTAAAAGAAAATATTTCTTTCAACAATAGTTTTTATATAATAATATGTGAGCATAAAACTTCTAATGAAAAAAAAAAAAAATATATAAAATATATAAATGATAATATATCAAATTTTATGGATAGCAATGATAATACTATTATGAATATAAATAAATATATAGAAAAAGAAGAAGAAATAAAAAAAATTTATATTTATAATAGTATGAATGAAAGTATAATATTTGATATATTTCACTATAGTGAGATTATTTATTTAATAAAAAATTCAGCTAATAAAAATAATGAAAAGATAAATTATATAAATGGAAACGAATTACATAACAACAATGAAAGTGAACAAATTAATAACAATAAAAATAAAGAAAATTTCTTTTTCAATATTTTCAATGTAGAAAGTAGTGATAACACCAGTTCAAGTAAATTTTCTAGTAGTAGTGAAAATGTGTGTTATGATTCAAATAAATTATCAAAAGATAATTTAAATTATATAATAAAAAATAAACATTATTTTCAAAATTATGTGAAAAAAAATAAAAAGAAGATTAGATTTATAAAAGAGAATAGTATAAAACACTTACCTTTGAGAAAAAATAAAAATATAAAAAATTCCTTTTTTATTATATATCCTTATAGACATTCGGAAAAAAGTGAAATTATTAAATTTACATTAGAAAAAAAAAGATACATATTAAAATATACAGAAAAAAATAAAATAACATTTATAGAAATATTTATAATTCAAAAAAAAAATAAACTCTTCATTAAAATTTCACATTATGTTGATAACGTAATACAAATTAAAGGTAAAATAGATATGAATTTATTATTTAAGGAAAATGTTAATATGAAAGAATTGAATAATCAAGATGTTAATAATGAAAAGGTGATTGCTTTAAAAAAACGAAAGAATAAAATATATTTAAGAAATGACGTTATAAGTAAATATATTATTAACGAAAGTAATTTTTTTAAAAAATATATAACTATTTTTTATTCTATTATTAAAAGAAGAAATAATAAAAAATTTCTAATTTATAAAAAAGATATTTTCAATAAAAATAAAATAATTGATAATTCTGTATTATCTAATATTCTTGATTATAAAAAGAATAAACGTTTTTGTAAGTTTTTTAATACTGTAGAATTTAATAACAAAAAGTTTAAAAAAAAAATTATATGGGGTATGTTGAGATATAATAATAACAAAAATATAAAAAAAAAAAAAAATTATAAAATAAATAATTTAACAAAAAAATCATATTATCAACTTTTTGAAAATAAAAATGTTACATTCATTGAAAATATGAATAAATATAAATTTTTCTTCAAAAATTCGAAGAAAAAAAAATCCGCAAACATTAATTATTATTTTGAAATAAAAAATGACATAAAAATAAACTTATTTTCCACCTTTTTGATAATGAATAATGATATAATTAAACAAAAAAAAGAGGATATTAATTATGTGGGAGAATTAGAACAAAAAGAAGGATATTTAATAAAAACATATGATAGTATTGAGAGAAATTCATCTATAAAAAAGAAGAAAAATTCTCACATCTTTACATTTGTTCTACTCAATGCTAATATGTTAATAACAAGAGAAATCACTAAAAATAGTGTTTTATTTTTTGCAGAGGATTTTTTTATCTTTGATTTTTCATCTTGTAATAATAAAAAGATATTTTTCAAAAAAACAATAGACAATAATTTATATAAACAAAAAAGTAATAAAATTTACAAAAATGAAAATAATACAAATGAGAAATTTAATATTAATAATTTAATAAATTTGGAATTAATTTATGAAAATTATAAAAATTCAGGAAAAATAAAAAAATTTGAATTTTCTTTATCACATATATATATAAATTTATCATTAGAAGTTATTGAAAAATTCTACTATTGTTATGAAAAATTTTTTAAAAGAAAAAAATTAAAAAAGAATTACAAGAAAGATCGTTTTATTTTTGAATTACATAATAATATTTCTAATAATCGAAAGGAAGGAAAAAGAGGAAAGATAAAAATTGAAAATTTAAAAGTTTATCCAATGAAAATAAATTTACTTTTTATAAAAAGAAATGATCTAAGCATATATAAATACAAAAGAAAAAACATATTTACACTTGGTGTAAAACTTTCTTATTTAAGTGATATAAAAGATGCAGAATTTTTTATAAATTCATTGTATTTAAAAGATATAAAGGAAAGAGATTTTTCAAGCTTTACTAATTATATTTTGAATTTTTATATGAAGGAGTTATATAAAAATTTATTTTTCTATTTAACAAAAATGAATTTAATAAATAAATATATAAATAATTATTATAACTTTTTTCATTTATTAATAGATAATAACTTATTCAATGCAGATATATCTAAAAGTTTTAAAATTACAAAAAATGAAATAGAAAAAAAGGAAAATATTTGTATAAATAATAATAATTCAAATGAAGAACAACTATTATTGAAAGATTTAAAACAAAATGAATATAATGATTGTAATAATAGAGATAAAAATATGATCTATAAAAAACCAGTTAGTGTAATAATAGAAAATAATAAGGGGAAAAGAAAAGAAAAATTTCATCAATGTTGGGAAAATCTGAATATTTTTAGTGATTCAAACTTTTATGTAAAACAAAAAAAGAAAAAAAAAATTAAAAATATTAATAAAAAACTTTTTTATATCCTCAATGATAAAAAAGTTTTTATTTTTAATGATGAAGATAATAATGATTTATGTGGTTATAATATTAATAATATTAATAATAATTTTATTAAGAATTATAAGAATGAAAAAATAGAAAAGAAAGAACATTTAGGTAATTTTAATTTATTTAATAATAGTTTAAAAACGTTAGGAAAAGAAATTTTATCTAGTATCAATTACTACCTATATGATAAGAATAACCAAAATTTTATAGATAAAAGAAAAGAAAACTTAAGAAGAGAGAAAATATTTATTTTGCAATATTTTTCAAACAACATAAAAGAAACAAACTTTAATAGAAACAATTCTTTGAAGGTAATAAAAGTTACTTTCTTTTTTCTTTTTTTTTGTAAATATAAATTTTTATAATTTTTTTTTTTTTTATATATTTTTTTAAAACTTAAGAAAAATACAAAATTTTTTATTTTTTCCTTTTAGAATGATACTGGAGAGAAAAAAGAATTTATGACATATTTTTCTATTTATAAGAAAAATGAAATTGTTTATCAACATTATTCTTCTAAAATATATAACCTATATAATAAATTTTTAAAGTAAGAATAATAAAGCTTTTTTGTAAAATATAAAAATATATTTTTATATATTGTTTTATTTAATTATTTTTTTATAAAATAATACATTTTTTTTTTCCTAATTTTAATTTTTGTTAGAAGGAATTTAATAATTAATAGTTACATTTACGATGAGAAAGAAAATTTCTTATTCTTTTTTTGTGATGAATACTTTATTAAATTAAATAGTAAAAATAAGATTATAATGAAAAAAGCAAATATAGTTAGAGTAGAAATCAGTTGTATTTATTTTAATTTGATATTTGATAAAGAAAAAAGCTTAATATTAAATATAAAAAATATAATTAAAAAAAATAAAAATAATTTTTTATGTTTTTATTTTGATATTTTATTTAAAAAGAATAAAAAAAGATTGATAAATAAAATTCAGAAAAAATTATTAAGAATACTATATTTTTTGTATTATATCTTTCATTTCATTCATAATTACAATAAAAAGGTAACTCATTTAAAAAAAAATGTCTCTTTAAAAAAAGAGGTTAGTCCTTCAGTAACTATTTTTGAAGATCATCAAAAAGAATTTTTTGCATTTTCATCAATAAAACATTTAAATTTTTTTTATTTGCACATTAAAAATTTTCTTTTTAATTTATTCCAATGATTTACATTTATTTTTTAATTTTTTATTATTTTTATTCTATATATTCACAAATTTACTTATGCTTAGAAATTAACTCATATTTATTATATTCAAAATAACATTTGGCAATTAATTTATGCATTATTTATAATGTTTTATAAATCTTATAATTTCTGTTCTTCGTTTTTATATTATTTCAAATTAAAACAATATTTCATTTTTTATATTAAGAAAGTTTTATATTTATTAACTATTATTTTAAATTTTGCATTAAATGCAAATCTTTCATTTTTGTTTTAATAAAATTTTTTTTTTTTTAAATATTTTTTGGTCAATATATATATATGTATATATTTTGTTTAAATGTGAAAAGTTAAAAATTTATATTTTTATTTTCTGAAATTAAAAAATACATGGTAAAGATTATTTTTTTAAAGTTTGAAAAAAAAAAATTGATTTTTTTTTTTTTTTTTTTTTTTTCGTAAAAAATACATATAAAATTAGAAGTTTTTTTTTTTTTTTTCATATTTATTTTTAAACGTTCCTTTTCAAACTTCAAAAAAATAAAATGAAAAAATAAGAAAAAGAAAAATTAAAAAAAAAAGAGAAATGAGCACAGTAAACGAACTTTTAAATTATTTTGTTGTTAATGATGATAATGAATTAATTAAAAAAGAGAAAAATCAGAGAGAAAAAACAATTATAAAAAGATATTTCCCTGGAAAAGTAAAAACTATTTTCTATTTTTAATATTAATTATATATACATATAGATCACATTTTTTTAAAATTTTTTTTTATTCCATCTTTAATGTTATTTTTTAGAAACCACATTATGCAAAAAATGTTAATGATAATGAAGATGATGATGAGGATGAAGTAGATGAACATGACGAAGTATTTAATGAACAAATAAAAAATATAGAAGAAAATGTAAATAATCATGAAAAGAATAATTTAGTTATTCAACCATATAAAATTAATAATGAAAGTGATAATCGATATATAAGATTAAAAAATAAGAGTAAAAAAAAAAAAAAAAAAAAAAAATTTCATATAGAAAAACTCTTAACTCTTTAAGCATTTATTTGTTTAAATTGTTATATTGATATATATATTTATATATGTGTGCTTTTATCATTTTACAGATATAAATGGAGATGAAAAAGAAAGAATAAAAAGAAGAATAAGAGAAGTACAAATTATTGATTATGAAGAATCAAGTAAAGAAAAAGACATTTTAAAAGAAAATTTTGAAGAGAATAGTAAAGCTGACAAAAATATACCAATTCGTAATAATGAAGAAAAAGAAAAGGAAAAGGAGGAAAATGAGGAAGAAGAGGAAGAAGAAGATGAAGAAGAAGATGAAGAAGAAGAAGAAGAGGATGAAGATGAGGAAGACGAAGAAGATATAGATGACTCTTATCTGAAAAATGAAGGTAATGACAATGATATTATTATGAAACATGAATTTGTCTCGAAAAACCATAGAAAAACACTTATAGAGAGAAAAACTGAAGAAGAAGAAGAAAAACAAAGAATTAAAGATATTAATGAAGAAAAAGAATTAATTGAAATAGAAAAAAAAGAAAGTGCCATAAAAGAAACATTAAATCAAGAAATGATGGAAGAAAAATTAAGAAATAAAGAAAATAATGTGTTTTCATCAGAAGAAGATTTTGAAGAAGATGAAAAAGATGAGGAGTTAAATGAAAAAGAATATGAATTATGGAAAATTAGACATCTTAAAAGATTAAAAAGAGATGAGATGGACAGAAAAAAATATGAAATTTTGAAAATGGAAGTTAAAAAAAGAAGGAAAATGACGGATAAGGAAATAATAGAAGAAAATAAAAAATTACCACATAAAGAAAAGAAAAAAAAAAGAAAGATGCTATTTATGCAAAAATATTATCATAGAGGAGGGTTTTATCAAGATTTATTTGAAGAAGGAAAAGAAGAAATTTATTTACGTGATTATAATGAGCCAGTTTATGAAGATAAAATTGATAAAGAAAAATTGCCAAAAGTTTTACAAGTTAGAAGAGGTAATTTCGGTAAACAAGGACAAACGAAATATACCCATTTGTTAGATAATGACACTTCAAGAAAAGATTCTTTATGGCAAAATAATGATTTAAATTTTCCTTTCAAAAAAAAAAAGGATTTATTTGAAAGACCTACTTACAGAAAAAATTGATATTCGAAAATATAGAATATTTAATTTCCAATTCCTCTTTTTTTATTTTATTCTTTTTTTTTTTTTTTTTATAGTAAAAAAAAAAAAAGAAGAAACTACAGTGTATCTGATATATATTCTTTTGACTTTTTTTTTTTTAATATTTTTATAAATATTTATGTTTATATTTTCATTTCGTTATTATTTTATTACTTTCATTTTATTTGTACACTTTTTTGTAAAAATTAACTATTAAACTTTTTTTTTTTTTTGAGAGAAGCTCTCCTTTTTTTTAAGTATTATCGTTTTTATTAAGTATGGAAAAGTTAAGGAAAAAAAAAAAAAAAAAATTTATATTTTACAACTTTATTTCAATATGCAAATGTTTAAAAAAAAAAATAATAAATTACACATGTATATATTTAAAAAGGTTCTATAATGCTAATATTTAATTAATGCTCTTGCATTTTTTTTTTTTTATTTTTTGCACGTAATGTTAACTATAAAAAAAAAAAAAAAAAAAAAAAAAAAAAATAGCAATTTTTATGAATTGTTCAGAAGAAAAGGAAAAAACAAGTACAGCAAAGAATAAATAAATAACATATAAATAATATAAATTTATTTAAATTAAAAACATATATATGTATAATAATATTTATACAAATATTGATAAATATAATTTTTATATTTATTTTCTCAAAAGACCGTCCGAATATTCAACATTCTTCCAGTTTCATAAAAAATAGAGTATATTGACGAGTAATTTTTATTCGGTATTACGCAGTTTTCAAAAAAATAAATAAAATTATCTAAAAAAAGATATGACCACATAAACAAATCATTTGCGAAAGGTATATGAAAAATTTCTTCACAAAATTTTTCTTGAAAAAGTATGCTATTACTCATTCTATTATAAAAGGCATTGGTAAAATACAAAATAATAGTAGAAACAATTCTACTTGGTGGTATAAGCTTATAAGATCCCAATGCTGTTATGTACATAGAATAAGCATATATAACATCAAATATGTAATATAAAAAACCAAAATGTTCTAAAAAAATATAATATATTTTGATTGCAGGATATTTTTTAGCACAATTTTTTAAATTTATAAAGTATACATGTGTTAAATCAGAATATGTCCAATAGTTATTGTAATTAATAGGCAATAATTTTAATATTTCCATCTGCTTATTAGAAATTTCTATACAAGTGTAATTTACTTTTTCATTTCTTAATTTATTTATAAAGTCTAGTATATCATTTAAATACATAATACTAGTTCCATTAAAGATTTGTGTTTTTATTAATGCTAGTAGTATAGAACATATGATTACTAACAGTTTAATTTTTTTGTAGTGATTCTTTTCAGTCATTTCATTTATTCTGTGCATATAACAATCAAATATAAAAACTGATAATAAAAATGTTTCTGTTTTGTAAGACAACCCATAACAAATTTCATATATATATGATAGATTCTGTTCTCTTCCTTCTATAAATGAATGAACCTTATAAATTAAAATTCTTGACTTTTCAATTATTAATTCTTCAAGATTTGGTTCTTTCGAATTTTCTTTAAAATTTAGAACATGTAGATGATTTATTGGACCTTTCTTATTCTTCATCAGTTTATATTTTTTAAATAAATTATATACTTTATTATCAACCAAATTTTTAGATTCATTTTCATATATATATTTCATTAATTCTTTTTTATCATATAATTGAAAACATGTATTGTATTTATTATCTATAACTTCTTTCAATTCTAATGTTCCAATGAGGTAATCATTAATGGAAAACGGTAAATATGTTAAAATATTCTTTAATAAGGTAAAAAGATGACTATAACTAACTTGAGTAATTAAGCTTTTTACAGATTCATCACCCACACCTCTGCTTAATTGATGATTTATATTTCTACTAATGTCATTAAATATTTCATAATTGATTTCATTATTTGATAAGTTACTACTTTTATTGACTACTGTGTTTTTAATTCCATCATTTATCTCACTTTTAATTTCACAATTTATTTTATTCAATGAATCTATATTAATATTATTAATTTTATTTAAGCTACTCATTATTTTATTATTCATATATTTATTTTTAATGCAAAATTTTAAATTATTATCAATAATTTTATTTTTTTCGTATTTTTTTTCAATAATTTTTTTATTTATTAATTTGCGTGCGTTTTCATTATCATCACACAAATTTGTCTTGACCATTGTATAGTTTACTCAATTTTAACAATGTATATATTTAAAAAAGATATAAATTAAATTCAAAAAATTGAAAATTTCTGTTTTCACACATATGCATATATATATGTAAGTAAGTATACATATGCTTATTTATATTATTATGCATATATAAATGTATAAGTATGCATAAAAGTTTTTCTTAAAAATGGTTTCGATAAAAAAAAAAAATAGGAAATTTTTTTTTTCTGTTTAAATATTTACATTATTATATATGTTTTTACAAAAATATTAAAAATATAAAAAAATAAAAAATTACTTAAACATATATATATATATATATATATATATATATATATATATATATATATATATATATATATACGCATTTATCTGTATGTGCAGAGAAAAACAAATCATAAGAACATCTTTATTTTATGTTTTAATTTTTTTAATAAGATATATATCATTCAAATAATTTTATACTTTTGTCAGTCATTTTTATAGTTATATTTCTCAAAAGTATAAAATTTCAAAAATATGAACTTTTTAAAATACTTTTTTCAGAGATTATAAGTATATACTTTATATATATTTACAATTATGCTGTTTACAATGTAAAAAAAAAATGATATCCACGTGTAAATATTTTTTTAAAAAAATATTTTTCAAAAAAAAAAAAAACAGAAGATATATATACATATATATATATATATAAATTTTTAAACTTTAATTATATTCTAAAATTTACCAACAATTTATAAAAATAATTGAACTGTTAAAATAAATATAGCAAAATAAGATATATATATATATATATGTATGTAATGAATTTATTTTAGTAAGTGTCTAACTAAAAATATGTTTTATTCTGATATAAAATTTTTACAATATATAAAGAAGAATATACTTCTTTTAATGTATTTAAAAATAAAAAAAAAAAAAAAATTATAGGAAAATGGCAAAAAAAAAATTTTATGAGTTAAATCTTGTCTACTGCTAATAACAATAAAGTAAGAAATGTTATTATCTTGTAAGAGTAAAAAAAAAAAAAAAAAATATATGTTATTTTTATTTAATTTTATCTTACCCATTTAACTACTTTTCAAACAATACTACAAGAAAAGCTGTATCAACATTTTTTTCCATATAATATATATACTTTTTTTTTTTTTTTTTTTTTTTTTTTTTTAATATTAAAATGTAAAAAACTTTTATTAATAAATTTTCATTTAATATTGGTGATAGATGTTTTTATATATGAGATCAATAATAGCATATATTTATAAAAAGTTGAGTGTTTCCTTTCGAAAAATAAAGTAATTTTTCAAAATACATGTTATATATTATAATGTATTTCATTTTTAAGATATAAAAAAGTATATCTAATATATTTTCAAATTTTTATCATAGATTTTCATAACGTAATTATTTGTGCATGCAATAGATTAAAAAAAAAAGAAAAATGTAAGATAAAATTAACATAGAAATGCTAAATTATTTTTTTCTCCTATTTTCAAATGCATACGAAAATATAAATTTCATAAAGTAAAATTCATCTTGCATTTTTTTAGATAATTTTCCTTGTATATGTAATTTTATAAAACCTTAAGAATAAATTATATATAATTATACACTTATCTTTTAACATATTTTAATAGTTAATGAATTTATTCTTTTCCTGTTTGTTTTTTAAATTGGAAATATCTTTAAAAAATATATTATATAGGTCTATAATTTATTATCATTTGAAATTTTCATAAATTATTCTAATATATTTTTATTTATTAATTTTATCTTAAAATTTTATGAAAAAGAAATTGCATTAAAGTATATATTTTATTTTATTTTATTTTATTTTTTTTTGATACTCTATATTTTTTATAAAAAATAATACATTATGCATTCCCTTTTTTTTTTAAAGAATACATTAAAATACTATTTATTAAAAGTGTAAGAATGAATAAGATATGAATACATTAAGCAAAAAATAGTATTTTTTAAATAATAGAAAAGTTATATTAAAAGAACAATAAAAGAGATAAAAAAAAAAAAAAAAATGGTTTCCTATTGGTCATATAATTTTAATTCTAAAATAATTAACATTTTTTTTTTTTTTTTTTTTATATATATGGAATAACAGAGATTTAAAAATTTTTTTTAAAGGAAATATTAATTTTTATTTTAAATAGTTTTTTCTTTTTTTTTACTAAATGGTGGCAAATACACATATGTAGATCTTTATAATGATATAAATTTCTCTAACACCACATATTATTTTTTATATATATTAAATAGAATGAATGTTAGAATACAATAAAACACTTCTACATATAAATTGAATTAAAATTAAATTTTTAATTTTTTTTTTTTTTTTCTTTCTTTTTTACTTTAAATAAAAATAAAATGAAATACATAAATTATTTTATTAATTTTTTATTCTTATAAGAAACGTAAGAATCTATTAAATTTATATTAAATCTTTATTTTAATATGTATCATTCTATTTATATTAAATTAGTTTCAAATATTCCTTAAATGAAAGTTATAACTTTTATATATGTTAAAAATTTTAAAATAATTAAAATTTAAATCTATTAAATATTTTATTTTCATTTTTTTATTATTTTTTTATTATTTTTTTCCTTTTTATTTACTGACTAAAGTGCCCCTTTTTTCAATTTATTTTACTATTTGTATAAAACAACTTATTTTTATATTTTTTACTCTTTTATTCTTGGTTTTAATATTACTAGTTAATTATAGAATAAAATCTTCTTCCATTAAAAGTAATTTTGTAAAAATGAATTTGAATGATAAAATAAGAATCTCTATAAAAAGCGAAGATTTCAATAAAAAAGAACTATAAAAATTTAAGATGTTTTCTCTTTATTAAATATCATTTAAAAAGAAATGAAAATACTTTATTTTAATAAATAGATTTACAGTTGTTATATAAAAGTGATTAAATTATAAGAATAAAATAATATTTTATACATATGCATATAATAAATCAATAAATGTAATGTGTATTTTTTTTTTTCTTTGGATATTATAAATTAACTGAAAAGAAATAAGAATATTAGAAAAACTTTCATATTTTTTTAAATAAATAATATATTATAAAATATTTTTAAAAAATTCTTTTTTCTATCTACATTTATTCACGTAATAAAAAAAAAAAGTTCAAAAGAAAAATGTTAATAAAATATAATTAAAATTAATGTTCATTTTTTTAAAATTCTCAAAAAAAAAAAAAATAAAATAAAATAATACATTATTGTGAAATACAAAATAATGAAAAAGACAAAAGTTTTATAACACTAAATCAATATAGATTATTTTTAAATATTTCTACTTTTTTCGTTTGTTAAATTAGATAACCTAAGAATTATTATTTAATTATTTTTAAAATGTTTCATTGATATGTTTTTTTTTTTTTTTTATATATATAAAATTCTGTTTTCATATAAGTAATTATTCTCTTTAAGAAGAGTAGAATAAATATACATTCTTAATATAAATAGTAAAATATTTTATAGTGTAATTAAATTTTTCATACAACAAATATTCAAAAAGTTGTTTTAACAATAAGAAAAAAAGGAAAAAAAAAAAAAGATATTTAATCTTTTAAATATAAATTTTAAAATTATATATAATATATTTTTTTTTTTTTTTTTTTTTTTTTTTTTTTTTGCCTTTTTATTGGTTATAGAAAATAATCTCAAATTTTAAAAAGCAAAATTGGAAAAATATTTAGATATACATTAATTATAAAAAATAAAGAAAATATTTAAATACACTTCAAAAAAAAAAAGATAAAAATATGGAAAGTTTCCCTGAAAAAATTTAAAAAGTGTTAAAATATAAAATATATAAGTATTTTATACATTTTTTATATTTTTTTTTTTATCTGATTAATATTTAATTTGAAATAAGTTATCTCAAAAATTTAAGGAAAAAAAAAAAAAGAAGTTTAAATAAAAAGTATAATATGAATTTACTAAAATTCATAGGTGCAATAAAGTTTAATGATATGCCTCATATGTTTTATAATTATAAAAAGAATGTCAATTAGATTTAAATATTTATTTGCATTGTATGTTTATGACAACATCTATAAATATATTTTTTTGTTAAAAAATTTAATAGATAAATAATTTAATAGATAAATAATTTAATGGATAAATAATTTTCATTATGAAAATTATTATTAAGTATATAAAAAAAAAAAAAAAAAATTAATTGATACATAATAAAATATAATTAATCTAAAAATTTATAATGTTCCTTTAATTTTGTTTTATATATCTACTCTTCAATTCGTGGTATTCTGAGAACAAATAATTATTTAAACAATTTTATTTTATAACTCTTTATATAAATACTTCATTCCCTTTTATTATAGATTAGAGTTATATAATTTATTTTATAAAATATATTCTTTAATGTTTTATTTTAAAATAAGGTATTATATATTATTTTTCTATAAAAAAAGAAGCATTCCAATTTAAAATATTTGAGATAAATATTTTTTATAATTAAATTGAATATAAATTCAATTAGTAATTCTAAAATTATATTACTATAAAAAACTTTTTTTAATATTATAGAAAAAGTTAATATAAAGATAACAAAATTTATTTTTTAAATATTTATTTTTTTTCAAAAAAAAAAAAAAAAAAAAAAAAAAAAAAAAAAAANTTTTTTTTTTAAAATTTTTTTTTTTTTAAAAAAAAAAAAAAAAAAAAAAAAAAAAAAGTAAATGCTTCATATTATAAATTTTAACATATTTATAGACTTTTAATATGAATTAAAGAAATATATCAATATAAAAATTACTTAAAAATGATAATTAATATTTAATAAAAAGTTTTTTTTTTTTTTTTTTCTTCACTTTCTTTCACGAAATTATCATTTTCACAATGAACAACTTTATGGTTAAACTAAAAGGAAATGAAAGATTAAATAATGATATAGAATCCGTTTTTATAAAAAATTTCTATATACAAAATAATTATGAAGATGAATTAAATGAAAAGAAAAAAAATATTAAATATATATTGACAGAAAGTTATGTAAATGAATATATTATTCCATTTTTAATTAAAGAAGAAGGTGATTATTATTACGTATTATGTGAAATCAATTTATCTTCTTTTAATGAAAAAAGTGATCATTCCTTTAATAATATTTTAAATTTAGAATTTTACTCATCTCATATATATTTTGAAGATATAGAAAAATGTCTATACAAAATCAAAACAAATGTACAAAATAAAAAATATAAAGAATTTAACATAAAGAATAAAAATGTATTATTGTTACATGGAGATTTTAATTATATTAACAACAATAAAGTAATGAAAAAAGATGGAAATAAAATGAAAGAATTATATAATTACATAAAAGAAAATGAACATAATTTAAGTGATTGTTTTAATAATATGGAAGGAAGTTTTATTTTAATTTATGTTCAATATGAAAATGATAAAGTAAATTTTATTTTTTTTAATGATCAATTTGGAAAAAAATCTTTTATGTTTTTTCATTTGAATAATTCTATTGTATTAACAAATATGTATGGACATTTTATAAATTATGATTTTAATTTTATACGTTTAAATAAAGAAAATTATTTATTTGATCATAATTCTATAAAGGAAGAATTTAATTTAATTAGTCATTCTGATATTATTCATAAGAAATCATTTACAAATGATAAAATTATTCTTTCATATGAAAATATAAAAGTAAAAGATAAAAATATTAATAGTATTAATGAACAAATAGCTATTAATATAAGACCACATTTTATATATAATTTATTAATTCAAAAAGACAAAGTTATATTAAAAAATATAAAGAAAACAAATTGTATTTATAATAATTATTATGAATGGAATAATAAAAATATATCATTAAAAGAAAATTTTCAATATATATTAAATTTTTTTGAAAAAAATAATTTTTTTGATGGATTTAATAAGGAAGAGCAAATATATTTGAAAGAAACTATTGAATATTTAGTAAATGAAAAAATGAAATATGAAAAAGTTGATTATGAAAAAAAAAAAAGATATGTAAATAATGAAAATATATTCTTAGAAACTAAAATAAATAATATTTTTATAAATTTACATATGGCTTTGTTAAATAATGTAATTAAAAAAAAAATAGAGGAATTATTTGAATGTACTGGCGAAAATGAAATTGATAAAAACAAAGCTGATGAAAGTATGGATTATTTTTTTAAAAAAAATATAAATGAAAATTTAAAAGAAGATGAAAAAAAAAAATCAGTAGGAATATTATTTTCTGGAGGAATAGATTCCACCCTATTGACAATTATAACAATAAAAAATTTTTTTCGTTTTTATAAAAATGGATACATTGAACTAATTAATGTTGCTTTTAATGAAAATGCAGTTGATAGATATACTTCTCTTTTATCTTATGAAAAGATAATTAATTTATTTCCTTATTATGATATCAGATTAGTATTTATTGACGTTTCACCTGATGAATTAATAAAATATGAAAAAATAATTTATTCATTAATTTCACCTAATAATACTACAATGGATTATAATATTTCTTCAGCTTTATTTTTTGCAAATATAGGTAGAGGTTATATATGCCCTCCTTCCTTTTTTAAATCAAATGTATGGAATACTATGAAAAAAAGTATTTTCCATATTTTCAATATCAATTTAAGTAAGCAAATGAATAAAAATAATTTGAAAGAAAATAATGAAAAATATCATAAAGAAAAAGATGAAAATGAAGAAAATAAGACAAAGAATATAAAAAAAAAGTGTAGTGTTTGTGAGTTTGTAATGAATAAAAACTGTATCCATAAGTGCTGTTCATCTTGTTGTAGGAAATTAAGATACATATATTTAAATGAATTTTCTTTAAAGAAAAAGCAAAACATAGAAAAGGAAATTTTTTCAACATTTAGTAAAGATGTAATTAATAATGATATGAACTTTTTCAAAGAAGAGAAAAATTCTATTGATATATATGAAGTAAAATATGATAAAAAAACAAATAAAAAATTCATATATTTATTAATTAAAAAGAAAAAGATATTAATTGATTTTGAAATTTTTTCTGAATGTAACATTCATAAGGAAAAATTGTATGATTATAAAAAAATAGGTACACTATTTTTTGAGTTTAATAAAGAATTAGAAGAAAAAAAAAAACATGGGAAAAATAAATTTAAAACAGATTTAAATAATGACAACAAAAAAAGTGAAATTGAAGATGAAGAAGAAAATGTAATGAATTTGAAAGAGAACGATGATAATAGAATATTAAATAATGTAGGAATTAATAAAATTGGAAAAGATAATTTCATTGAATATTTTGTTTCAAAAAAATCAGATCAAAATATGAATGATTTTCATAAAATAGAAAACTTATTTTCTGTAAAAAACAAAAAAAAAAAAGGAGAAAATAGTAATAATAAGAATAAAGATAAAATTTTTTTTGATGATACTTTTAAAAAAGAAGAAGAATGTTTAAATTTTTTGAATAGAAAATTATATAATCATGATAATAGAGAAAACAAAGAAAATTATGAATGTAATCATAAACTACTAATAATAGGCAGTGGTGCTGATGAATTATATGGTGGTTATTACAGACAGAATAATTCAAATACAGACATTAGCTTAGATGCAAATTTCAAAATGAAAGAAATGATTAAAGATATCAAAAGATTGTGGATTAGAAATTTATATCGAGATGATAGAATTTTAAGTTTCACTAGTATATCAAGGAAGGATATTTTTTATCCATTTTTAAATATAAACTTAGTTAATTTTTTATTTTTATTATCCTTTTATATAATAGAATCACCTATACATAATTTGGACTCATTAGAAAAAATACAGGATGACGAAAAAGAAGAATCACAACTTTTAAATATTACGGATATTTTTCAAATAAATAGAAAAATAGAAAATGTAGAAATTAAAAATGAAAATAAATTATATAAAAAAAATTTTCATTTTTTAATGGAAAACTTAGAAGAGTGTTATCAAATATATGAAATTATTAGGAAACATAAAATTAGCAAATGGATTCTAAGAATGTCAATCTTTTTTTTAAAAATTAAGGAAGTTATGTTTTTTAAAAAAAAAGCTATCCAATTTGGTTCAAAAGCGAAAAATATAAAAAAATATATGAAAGAATCTTTGTATCATTTTAATAACAAAGAAGAAATTATATATAATAGGAATGACAAAAAAGGAGACGATTATTACACTCTTTTATCTTAAAAATATATTATATTAGAGAAAAAATATTAAGTTTTTATATTAAAAAAAAAAAAAAATTGTTTTATTTATAAAAAAAAAAATATATATATTTTTTCTTTTTTTTATAGTCCATTTTAATTTTAAATTGTTTTATTTAGTATGTTTGTATTATTTTTAATAACCGTTTTAGATTTTAAAATATTTATAATAAATTTAAAAAAAAAAAGAAAAAAAACATAAAAGAGAGCTCTTTTCAAAAGAGTATTTGAATTTATTATGAATTTGAAAAATATTTATTCTAATATTTTTTTTAAACTTTTTTTTTTCCTAAAATATATATACTAAAAAATTGTTTTTAATAACAATTTTTTTTTTTTTTGAAGTTGATTTTAAGTATTCTTCTAAATGATTTAGTCTATATTTGCAATCCTTTTTTCTAAAAGCTGTTCTTTTATATAAAAAGGGAAAACTTATCTATTGCATCTTTCATCTTATCAAAAGGAATAAGGAAAATAATAATATATTCTTTGTAATTTACTTCTTTTTTTTTATTATTTATAATTTCATAAAACTTTTTAATGTTATTATTATTCCACATTATATAATGAATTTTATGCTCAAAGAAATATTGTTCTTCAAAGTTGGAAAAAATTAATTCATCATTTAAATTTTTATATACTTTTGTATAAAAAAGTATATAATCAAAAAAATAAAATTTTTTTTCATCTTCATCTAAATCTACTATACCTTGTGACCAAAAAACATCATCAATAACATTTTTGTGAATTAAAGGAATTAATTTAATTGGACAGTTTATTATTCTACTATTAATTAGTAAACCTATATTTTTATTAGTTGATAATAATCTACTTAATTCTTTTATACTTTCTTGAAATTCTTTCGTACTTGATTTCTTTATTTTATTTAATAAAAATTCTTTTAAATCTTTTATTTCATCATATTGATTTAGATTAATAATAGTTAAAAAGCTAATTATGTTATCCTTTTCATTTGAAACACATAAAAACTTTCCAATATTTTGTTGATCACATATTATAGTAATTAATTGTTCTGAAAATTTTAGATTGTTATATAATTCTGTGCTTTTTAATAATATTCTTATATTATCTTTGTATGTATCATGTGGATCTATTAATTCAAAATCAACAATTATTTCATCATTATTTAGATTATACTCATTATTTTTCTTTTCTTTTTTGTTAATTTCATAATTATTTTTCCCTGTGCTATCTATTTTATTACTTGTTTTCTCCTTTATCTTTTCTTTTTTAATATTTTTTTTATTTTCATTTTTCGATTTTTTTATTACATTATTTTCTTTATTATTTTTTTCTCTGTTCATAATTTTAGTATTTTTATCTTTTTCATTTATTATGTCTAGTTTATTATTATTATTTTTTTTTTTTTTCTCTTTTTTTACTTTTTTGCTTTTTATAACATTCTTGTTAAGCAGTTTTATTTTATTATTTGATTTTTTTTCAACGTCTTTTTTTTTATTTTTTTTTATCATATTTATGTCGTTATTATTTACTTTTTCCTTTTTATTTTTTTTTATTATATTTATGTCGTTATTATTTACTTTCTCCTTTTTATTTTTTTTTGATATTTTTTTGTCTATAAATTTATGTACTAATTTTCCTAAATTTTTATTCAATTTTTTTTTTTTTATATTCCTTTTTTGTTTTTCATTATTTTTTTCAATTACATGAACATTTTTACTGCTATTTTCTGTTTCTATTATATATTTCTTTTTTTCTTCTTTTTTTTCTTCTTTTTTTTCTTCTTTTTTTTCTTCTTTTTTTTCTTCTTTTTTTTTATTATTTTTTACACTTTTTTCTTCATTACTTTTACTTTTCTTTTTATTTTTTAAATCTAGTACATTTAAGTTATGTTTTAAATTATTCTCAAACTTATTTTTCTTCTTTCTTTTTTCTTTTAATGTAGATACTTTTTTTTTTTTTGTTATGTTTTTCGTTAGTTTTTCATTCTTCATTTTATTCAAAACTTTTTTGGTAAATAATTTTTGTTACATAAGTTGTGTAAAATAATACATATATATATATATATATATATATATATCTTAATAGTTGTTTGGTGTTAAGTTTAAAAATATTTCTTTAATAAACTTTGAATAATCTTTTAAATCTTCATAAAATGCATATAATTTTTAAAATGTTTGGTGGATATTTCTAGTAATATGTTTTTTTGGTAAAAAAAAAAAAAAAAAAAAAAAAAAAAATNAAAAAAAAAAAAAAAAAAAAAAAAAACAAAATATTGTAATTTTAAAGGAAGAAATTTTCTTCAATATTATAAAATATTTTATGCATGAATATTTACTTAAAATTTAATTTTTATAAAAACCATAAAATGTAAATTTTTTTTTCTTCTTTAATAAGGAATATCAAATTAAAAAAGCATAAATTGTTTTCAAAAAAAAAAAAAAAAAAAAAAAAAAAAAAAAAAAAATAAAAAAAAATATATGTAATAAAAATTAAAAATAGTGAACAAGAAATATTAGGAATAAAAAAAAAAAAAAATATATATATATATATATATACATGTGTAATTAAAAAAAAAAATCAAGAAATATATATATATATATTTATAAAAACATAAAATTAAGAATGTGACAAAAGAAATGCAAAAAATAAAAAAAAAAGAAATGGAATATGAACGAGTATCTTCATTAATTGAAAAATTTAAAAATGATAAATATATATTAAAAGCATATAATAAAATATATGATTATAATAATTGTAAAATATATAGAAGTGTAAAAATAGAAGATATAGAAAATGAAAAATATAATAAAGAAACAAAATATAGTATACTTAAAAGTATGCCTATACAAAAAGAAGACATATGTGATGATGAAGAAGATAAGTTAAAGAATATTATTGAAATTATAAATCAAACATTATATATTTATACAAATGAAACATTAGATAAATTTAGTGAAAATAGTAAAGAACTTGTTGATATATATAATCATATTGATAATTGTAATAACATATGTCTTGATATAGATGAAATATTAAATAAACATAAATCTGATATAAAATTTATTTCTGATAATATTAATAATATTCAAGAATTAACTGAAAATATGAATGATAAATTAAATAATAGAAAATTAACATTAGAATTATTAAATACATATATTAAAATTATTTTGATTACACCTAAATTAATATATGATATATGCAATGGAGAAATTAATGAAAATTTTATAAAAAATATAAACATTTTAACAAAAAAAATAGAAAATTGTAAACATTGTTTATATGATTCTTATCCAAGTATTAAATTTTCCTACATAGAATTAGAAAAGTTAAAAAATAAAGCCGTTGATAGAATATATATTTTTTTTTTATATAAAATTAATGATATAAAAAATAAAAAAATTAATATTCATTTAATTCAACAAAACTTAATTAAATTTCACGAATTGAATACTTTTTTATATAATAATAACAGAAATGTTTATAACTATTTAATAAAGGAATACATAGCTGTTATTAATAGAACTTATCATAATTTATTTAAGAATTACATTGGAGATTTAGAAAAAAAAAAAATAGAATTTGTCAATATATTTACTATAGGATTTTTAAGTTATTATAAAAATGATAATAATGTAACTTTACTATCAGCAAAAAATAAAATGATGAATATTCTTGGTTTTAATATAAATAACCATAATAATAAGAATGATAAAAAAGAAAATATATTTTTATTAAATAATAGAGAAAAAATATTAAGTGGTTTAGATAAAAATTATAATGTAAATTCTGAGAAATCAGATTTGCCTGTTATATTTACAACAGATAATTCTCAATATTATTTTGAAGAAATTTATAAATCTATTAATAAATTATTTTTAGATACAGGAACAGCTGAGTATTTATTTATTTCAAAATTTTTTAAAAATTATGAAAATCACGATTTTTTGTTTATAGAAATATATTCCAAAACAATAACTTTATGTTTTGATTTTATTTATTATTATATGAATGACACTTTTGATTTCATTTCTCTTTTTTGCATTTATATGATTAATTTACAAAATGGATATATAATTAGAAATAGACATATATTTTCATTGTATGAATTCATTGATAAAATACAAAATTTAATATGGAAAAGAATACATTTTATCATTGATCAAAATATTAAGTCATTAAATTATAAGAATAATAATATGAATGATTTAGCAAAAAATTCTAATAAAAATACCATTTATAATTTAATTTACTCTAATAATATTAATAATGAAAATAAAAACTATAACAACACAAGTGTAAATTTTGATACAAGTAATAATTCCCCTTCTAATGTTCGGTTAAATAATGATATAGAAGAAAAAGAAAAAAATAATATGCAAAATTTTCATGAAGTTAATGAAACAATAAAAAATAATTTTACCAATTCATTAAATGATATAGAAAAAAATCAAATAAATAATTCTTCCACTTTTATTAAAACTCAAACACATTGTATTACTAAGAGATTTTCTGATTTTTATTGCTCATTTGTTATATTGAGTGATTTATGTTTTAAGTATGAGAAATATTACATCGAAATATATTGTGAAAAGAAGGATGATTTTAATAAAATAAGTAAAGATAATGAAAATGTATTAAATTTAAAAAAAAAAAAAAAAAAAAATGTACACAAAATTTTTTTAAATATTCATGAAAATATATCAAATAAAAATGAAAATTCTTCACATTGTGAAAGTCAAATAAATGAAGCGAAAGATGAAAAAAAATATAATGAGAAAGAAGGTAATGAAAAAATTGATGATAATATAGGAAAAAGAGACATGACAAACTTGAGAAAAAATAAATTCATTGAAAATTGTTTAAATAATGATAATAATACAAACGGTATCAATGATGGTATACCTGTTGTTAATTATTCGAAAGACAATATTGATAAATTATCAACTCCTAAACATTCAAAACCTGATGATTTGATTGATAATAATAACGTAAAAATTGAATGTAATCCAAAAATTAGTGACATTTCTAATAATAATAGCAAAAAAAGTATAACTGAAAATACTATAAACGATGTACTTATAAAAAAATCTAATGAATTTAAAAATAATTCATTTTTTTTAAAAGAAATAGACAATAAAACTTCAGAAGTAACAAATTGTGAATATCATAAAAATAAAATTGATATTGTATCAAAATATAAGAATTTACGTAATTTTGTATTAAAACTAGAAGAATCCATTGTAGACACATTACTTAACTTAAGTAAAGAATTTTCATTAATAAAAGATAAATTATTGTTTTTGATTAATAATTATTATCATATTATATCTGTATTAAAAGAACATGAAATAAACGAAGAAAAAATTATAAAGTTTGAGAAGTTATTAGAAAAAGAAATATCTGTATATGTTGATCATCAGTTAAATGAGTATATTAAGGATATAATACAATTTGTAAATAAACATGAAAAAATAGTAAGTAATCTAAAGGAAAATGAAAATGACATAATATCATATATTGATATTAAAACATTGGAAAGTATAGCTGTTAATTTTAGTAAAGAATGGAGAAATTTACTAAAGGAAATAAAAAAAAATGTTATTCATTCCTTTACAAACTTTGATAATTCCTTAAATATATTGAAATTGTTAAGCACGCAAATTCTTTTATATTATACAAGATATCACCAGTTGATAAAGAAAGCTTTTTCTAATTCACAAATACCAATTTATATTCATAATTTACCATCTGTTGATATAGTTCTAACACAAATTAAGAAAAATTCCAAAAGTTTTGACTCATAAAATCATTATATTAGTTATATAAATTGTTACTCTCACAAAATCCGCAGGAACAAATATATCAAACAAATATTTTAAAAAAATATTATAATTTTTTATAGTACTATATATTTAACCTTTATTCATAAATATACATATTAAAAGCATAATTTTGTGCAAAAAAAGTATGTTAATAATATATTAGAAATAAAGTAAATTGATTTATTTGTTTTCAGAACAATATATTATGATCAATTGTTTTTTATTGTTTTTTTTTTCCTTTTTTTTTTTTTTTTTTGTTCCATTTAAATTAATTTTTATATTTTAAAATGAATACCTATATTTATTTATGTATAAACTAGCTTAAATTTTTTTTAATACACAGTTTATAATTTAGAATTTTTTTTTCCAACATTTAAGCAACTATATATTCCTTTAATTCTTTTAGAATTTTTTTTTTTCCTCCTATGTAACAATGAATTAAATTAAACAATAATTAATAAATATTAAAATTTATGAAAAATTTAATAGGAAAATTAAAAAAAAGAAAAAGGAAAAAAAAAAAAAAAAATTACACAAAAAAATAATGATAACTATATATTAAATAAAAAAAAAAAAAAAAAAAAAAATTAAAAGAGCATGAAAAACTACAAATTGTAAATTGTAGAAATCAATATAAGAAATGTGTGTAAATATATGCAAAAAAAAAAAAAAAAAAAAATATATATATATATATATATTAACATGTTCACATACATACTTGCGACAATGAATTATTGTTACATAAAAACAATTAAAGATTTTTATTTATTGAAAATTATATAATTATGTATTTTGTATTTTTTATATTGTTATTTCTTATTATTGTCATTATTGAAATTATAATTACAGTAACTTATAATTGTTATTATTTTATATTTATCCTTCAATTAATTATCTTTTATTTATATCTAATTTTCCATTTTTTTTTTTTTTTTTTAATTTGTTTCCTCTTTTAATTTTGATATGAATACTTATATATTTCTATATGTATTCTTAATAATTTTACATTATTTAATAATATTTTTTACTTTTTTTTTCTCATTTTTTTTTTTTTTTTTTTAGTTTCCTTTTTTTAATTTATATATATATATATATATATATATATATATATATATAATTAATAATTTTATAATTACGTAATGACATTCCTTTAATGGGGTTAAATAAATTAACATTTTTTGCACGAAGGAATGTGTTCAGCTGATGCTTCAATATCAATTTCTCCATTAGCTGTTACAACAGCTGGACCATAATAGGCCATAGCATTTCTTGATTTGTAGTATTCATTTCTCATAGCACTTTGGGTTAATTTTACATCATATCTGTGACTTATGGGTTCAAATAAAAATCCCCATACTACACTGAAAAAAAGACTTATACCTAAAAATAAGCAGTAAAACCAATCTAAGGATTCAAAAGATGGAGTATTAAATAATGTTAATCCCAACACTTCTAAAAATGAAGTAGCTAAAAAGCTCATTCCACATAACCAACCCCAAGCTTCTCCTGCACCTTCAGAATGATACACTTCCAAAAAAAAACATCCAGAACCATATAAAAATAAGCAAAAAGCATCAATAACTCTTGAACTAAAGTATAAAATCCAAGAGGAACCAGCACCAATTTTTTCTTCCATCCATGGATCATCAAAATAATAAGATGATGCCATTAAACATATTAAAGACAAACTCCATGATACCGTTCCTATAACATATATACACAAACATATAGATATAATTTTAATATGAACCTTATATATATATATATATACCAATATATATCATTATATGCACAAATATATGTAAACATATAATTCTTTAATTAAAATAAATACCCATTGATGTAGCTTGTAATAAAAATTTTGTTCCTGCTCTATATCCTCTTGACTGTTTAATACTGTAAAAAACACAAAAATAAATTTGTTTTATAAAAATACATTCATTTGAGAAAAGAAACATGTGTCTTTTCATTTATATTTTCTTGTTTTGATATACATAAATATGTGAAATGAAAAAAAAAAAAAAAAAAAATAAAATAAAATAAATAAATATCTTTTTTTTTTTTATACCTGCTATCATCTTCTGTTAATTGCAAAAAGGACATGATTAGAAGAGTTCCTAATAAAAATCCTCCTACACTAAGAAGCACTAAAGGTATTGGTGCATCACCAACATTTCCTGGTAATGCTCTTAAGAATTTTAAAATACCAAATGGATTATTTCCTATTAGAGATACTGAACAAACTAATAATAAATATGAAATAAATTGAATAAGAAATCCAACACGTAAATTAAAATTCATAAAAAAGTCCCAAAAAGGTTCAAATTGGGGTCCACGACCTTCTGGGGCTTCTCCAGGACGAACAACATAAGTAAAAAACATTTTTTACAAAATTTCTTTTAAAAATTATTTAGTCAAAAAAAGTTTTTTTTTACCACCAATTAAAAATAAGAAAAATAATAAACTAAAATATTAAGGAAAAAAAAAAAAAAAAAATGAAATATATGTAAACAAAAAATAAAAATATATAATAAATATATATATTAAATCATTGAATTTCTTTTTGTTCGGACAAAATTTTATTAAATATACACATACATTAATATATGAATTTTTTTTTTTTTTTTTTTTTTAAATATATATATATATATTATCCAATTAATTTGTTTCTTTTCTTTGCTTTTTATAATTTAAAATGAAATTAATAAAAATTATAAACATATATTACTTCTATTATTATATATTTAATTTTTTTCTTTTAATATTTTTCTAATAATCTATATAAATGTATTATTTTTATAAACACAATAATATAAAATAATTAAAATATTGCTGGATACATATATCTACAAGAAATTTATATGTACACACAGCAGCGCTAGTTTTGTGTAATTTTTTTTTAATTTTTTATTCATAATTTTTTCGTTCTTAAAATTTTTTTGTACTTTTTTTTTTTTTTTTACATGTTTAAAAGAAAAAAAAAAAATTTTAATGCAATAGAAAAAGAACTAAAAAAGTTGACCTAAATTTATAAAGAAAATTATTCTTCATATATATATATATATACATATATGTATTTATCTATATATAATACTTTGCAAATCTTTATAGAAAATGATAAGCGAGTTTATGTGATTTTAGTGACTTTTATTTTTACATAATTTTTTTTTTTCACTATTAAGGGTATGCAAAATTGGTGCGATATATGTTCATTAAAAAGAAAAAATTATATATTTCAATAATGCTAAACAATATTATTCAAAAAAAATTTTATTTAAAAATTTTTATATTTTATATTATTTTTAATTATTAAGGTATATTAAAATGTTTTAATCGTTATCTTTTTGTTTTAATTTTTCTTTTTTCTTTTATTTTTTTAACATATAAAGAATTCAAAAATATGAATTTCGTTAAAAGAAATTCATGTGTACATTTGTGTGTGCATTATTACATCTTTACAAATGAATGTAAATTCTTATGTGTGTAATTATTAGAATCTATTACATTTTTTTATGTGTATTGTATTTTATTTTGTTTTTATTTATTTTATTTAATTATTTTTTTTTTTTTTTTTTTTGGGAGGGGGGGATTTTATGATGCATTAATTTTTTTTTTCTTTTTTTCTCTCTAAAATTGTATTATGTATTTAATAAAACACATATAGGTACATATAACATTTTCCTAAGACCATGTTAATAATAGGAAAGTGCTACTTATGTTGTTTTCTATGTTAGCAAAAAAAAAAAAAAAAAAGAAAAAATAGAAAATATAATTAATTTATAATTATTATATCTTAATTATTAATAAATAATGTACCAAGTGAAAAAAAAAAAAAATTTATGAATTTGAAGTTTTATTATTTTTATTTAATTAAAGAAAAAAAAAACAAAATAAAAAGTATTAATTTTGAAATTGTGCTTTTTAATACAATAAAAATACCTTATAATTCTTTCTTAGGCAAAATGCTTCACTTTTTTTATTATGAATTATTTTTTACGATTAAGTAGACAATTTTTTTTTCGTAAAAAAACTTGATTTAGTTAAATTTTTTTTAATATATTACTCTTATAGTTAATAAAAAAAAAAAAGTTTCAGTTAAATATTTTTTAAATTTTTTGAATAAACGCTTTTTTTCCATGTTAATATATAATTGTTATTAACAAAGTAATAAATTTTTTAAAATGAATTTTTTAGAATATAAATACATGAGAAAAATATTAATAGAATGTATTTAAATCAAATATTAAATTTTACGTTTTTTTTTTTTTATAGAAAATTAGGTTTTCTTAAAATAAAACAAATTTAAACTTAAAAAAAAAATAAAATAACAAAAAATAAAAATTCATAAACAAAATATAATATACTAAAGAATTTGTTAAAGAAAAAAAAAAATAAATGAAATAATTATCTATTTAAAAACAAAAAAAGAAAATTTAATATATTTATATATTTTTTTTTCTTTCTTTTATGAAAATGTTTAAGCGAAGAATATAAAAAATATTTTTTGTTAAATAATTTTTATATATCAATTTTTTTTATAATAGTAGTATAAAATTATTTTTATAATAGAATGATATATAAGTATATATATATTTATATTTCTATAAGTATTATGTAGACATTAAATATTAGTAGAAGAAAAGAAAATAATAGGCTTTTTTTATATATAATTTAAGATAATTTTTTAATAAAACATTCTATGTTTTAGGAAAATTTACTGGAGGAAGATTTTGATTTTTTAAATTTTGTACTTGTTCTAATATCTCTTGTAATTTTTCTTTTGGTGTATTTTTAATGATAGCTAATTGTTTTTGTTTTTGTCTAATTTTATCTCTTACAAATCTTAATCTATCCTCTGAATTCTGAAGCATTAAAGCATCATATCTATCAACAATCATTAAATGAAAATCAAAAGCAGCAAAAGATACAATTTGAATAAAAGCTTGCCTTTGTTCTATATCTGATGGATCAATTTGAAATTTTTCTAATTTAGAATCAATAGATTCTTTTAAATCATTTCTTAATTTTATGTTCATTGAAGCAAATGATTGATCTAATTGTTCCATTAATTGTGATTCCATCGTTGTACACTGAGAATGAATTCTAATAATTTCGTCAATAACTTTTAAACTTTCTTCACCATCAATTAATCCTTTTTTATCTTCAATTGGAGATATTTTTCCTAAAATACATGGTTCTTGACTTATTATTTCATCAATTATTATACGTCCTCTTACTAATCCTTTAACAGCTAAATTATTTCCCACTTTAGTAACATCCTTTATTTCTGCATAAATAGCTAATGGGGCTAATACACCAGTTTTATGATTAAAAAAACACATACCAAATATTTTTTTTTTCTCTCCATTTATAGAAACTTCTCGTGTCATACTTTTAAATATTTCTTCGACATTTTCTCCATTAAATTGCATATAATCTTCAAAACCTATTTGAAGAGGAGAGGGTTCATTAGACATTTCTTCTAATAAAATTGGAAAAAAACCTAAAGTATTATTTTCATCGAATTCATTTATCCATTCATTTAATCTACCTTTCACATTTCGAGGTACATCATCAATTACTGGTTTCTCAGTTAAATTGATTTGATAATTTTCTGCATATAAAATATTAATATTCCTATTAAAATTTGTTTTTTTTCTTTTTAATTTTGGGTAATTGCCTAAATAAAGTAAGTTGCTTCTTTTTCTTGAAATTCCTCTTTTTTCATTAGGTAAATAATTTCCTCTGTTATTATTCTTATATATATTTCCTCTATTTTTTTTTAGTGTATTATTTTCATGTATTAAAATATTTTTTTCATTTATATATGATTTGTTACTTATGTGGATACCATCAATGAAAAGCGTAAAAAGATATAAGAAAAAAAACAAAACACTTTTACTTTTCATAATTTAAAAAAAAAAAAAAATATATAAGTAACATATAGAATAAAAATTATCAAAATGTATAAGGAATAATCTTTTATTTTACTTAGTTACTTTGATTATATGTATTTTAATATTTCATTTTAACTTAATATTTTCTTTTTTTCTTATTTTTTTAAAATATTCATGTAAAATTTACTTGACATGTTAAATAGAACTACTTTTAAAAAATTATAATATAGTTTAAAAGTAATATTATAATAAAAAATGTTTAAAAAAATAGTGATATTTTCAATTAATTTATATAAACATATATATATATAAATATGTATATTTTTTTTTTATTTAGTAGCTATAATTATTAAAATGTAAAAGGATAAATAAAATCATCAAATTTATTCATACTTGTATAAATAGTAAATTATACTTTATTTTTATTAAAAATGGATAATTTTAATGTAAAAGTTGCATTAAATTATTTTTGGAAATATATATATATCCTTCATATTACAACATTTTAAAATGTGTTCATAAAAATAAATAAAAAAAAAATAATTGAAATTCTAACAAAAAAAAAAAAAAAAAAAAAAAAAAAAAAAGTATTTATAAGTAATTAAGTGAATATATAAATGTTACTAAAAATAGAGTCATCATTTAAAAAAATATTTATTTTAATTTTTTCCAAAAAATAAAATATATATAAATTTTATAAGAATTAAAAAAAAGAAATGTTTCAATTATAAAAAATTAATATATAACCAATTTATGTAATTATAAAAAGGCGCATTTCAACAAAAAAAGGAAACTATAAACTTAAAACAAATTAAAAAAAAAAAAAAAAAAAAATATTTCTTAAAGAATGAAATATTTTTTTATTTACGTATCTAAAATGTTTATATGAAAAAAAAAAAAAAAATAAAATAAAATAAACAAAATGGAAATACCTAGAAAAAAAAAAGAGAAACTTTAATGTTTCTATAGAATACCTTATGTAACAACATAAAAATATTAATAAAGGATGTATTATAATAATAATAAGCTTATATTAACATAATTTTTGTAATTTTTTAATATCTACATATTACTATATATTAATATATAATAAATATAAATATTCATTGTAACTTCATATTTTATTTTAACTTATATTATTTAATGTCTATATTTAGTAATATTTATGTTAATATTTCTCATTACTTATTTATTTTAATTTTTTTTTTTTTTTTTTTTTTTTTATTTGACTATTTCATATCCATTCTTATTTCCATGGTCTCTTCATTTTCATTTTGCAAAGGTAAATAGTACATATAAAATAATTTTTTCAGATAAAAAATAATAGAGAGAAGCAATATCAATGCAAAAAGAATAAACATACTATATAAGTTAAAATAAGATACTTTTAAATATATATTTTCTTTTTTATTATATTCATTATAAGTTTTTGGTCTTGTATTAATTGGATAAGATGGACAATTAGATTCAACAAATCCTATTTTATAATTTTCTATATCAAAAATTACTTGTTTGTTTTTAAAGAAAGTTAAACCAAATATTGCTTTATTATTTACTTGTTTTTCTATTCCTTTACACCAAAATGATTCTTTTTTATATAAATATGATTCAGGTTTCCATCGAATTTTATAATTATCTGACATAATTACATAAATATCTGGTAGATAATCTTTATACTTCCAGCATTGAACATCATCAACAATTTTAACACACATATTTTCATTTTCAATTATATTTTTTAAAGCTGAATTAAAATCATCAAAAAAAAGGAGAGGATTGATAAATGAATCATTAGTTAATCTTAATCTTTTATTTACATCAAGAACATTATTCATATCAGGTATACATAAGATATCTAAGAAAAAATTTAATTTATTATAAACACTTTCAGGTATATGAGAAAACGTACTACCAGAATCAATCAATACATCAAATTCATTGTTATCCAAAAAATCAGTACCATAAAATTTAAACCCTTTTACTCTTACATAGTAATAGTATTTTCTTGTTATATTTGCCCATATTATATTATTTATCTCTTCATTTATTCTCTTCATTTCATTTGAGTCTTCATTTTTTTTATTGATTACATCATTTTCGTATTCATTGTGATTTGCTTCATTTATAATGTTTGCTGTTATTTCATTTTCCTTTTTATTATTTCCTTTTTTAATATTTTTTACAATATAATCTTCTTCATATCCACCTATGATTAGTTCTCCTCCATGTTCTGCTATACAAATAGAAAACTGTTTGGTTAAATTTGGAGAATTTTGAAATAATAAATCAACAAATGTTGGGACGTTATTTGGTTTTGTTAAACTGAACCCTAAAACTCCTGTGGCTTGCTGATGAAGAAATAAACTTTCTTCATGCATATGACAACCCATTAATTTTCTAAAAGATATTTTTTCATTATTATATGAAAACATACTAACTATATCAGAAAAATAAAATCCTGAAATTTGAGATCCTTCAAAATAAGATTGAAGATACTCACATTTTCCCTTTACACATTTTAAATTGAATGGACATTTTGTTTTATCACAATATAGAATTAACGAAGTTTTAGAGTAATTTGAATGATATGGGTTTTCCATATGAATACCACAATCATTACATCCTGAACATGGGAAACTTAATGAAGATGATCCTGTATCTAAAATTACAGAGATCCTTTGTTCAGGTATACCTATATCTAAATCTAAAAAATAATAAGCATATTCATCTATATCACCATACAATTTATATTTATATATATTTTTTTTTTCATTTCTTTTAAATAAATTATCTTTGTATGCTATATCTATTATTACATAATCTATTAGAAATGATATAAAAAGAAAAAACAAAAAGGGAACTTTTTTCTTTAAAAAAGGTAAATTCATTTTTATTTCTTTTAAGATAAGTTCCTACACTGTTTTTAATGAGTACACAAATTAAAAAAAAAAAAAAAAAAAAAAAAACTCTGTTAGTATTTATAAATAAAGTGGAAACAATTTATAAGTAAAATATTTCAAAAAAACAAAGAGAGAGATATTTCTCTTAATATAAAAAAAGTAACATTTTTATTAATATAATAATAAAAATAATAATAATAATACACTGTTTTCTACAAATGTAACTGTTTGGTTTAAAGAATATATTCATTTTTCATCTACATAACTTTAAAAAATTAACAAAAAAATATATATATTTATATATAGATATATGGAACAAAAAAATTTTATATTAATATATACAGTATATATTATTATGCAATTAAATATATGCAAAAGTTAAATTATTTGTAATAAAAAAAAAAATATGTAAGAAAGAACTTTTCCAATTTTCAAATCAAATAAATAAATGATGCATACATAAATTCTATTAAAATTATTTTATAGAAAAAATATAATATAAAATAAAGCTCCATTGAAATAAATAATTTAAAAAAAATATATATAAATATCTGTATAGATAAAGATTAATCATTGTATATATATATATATATATATAAAAAAATAAAGGTATAAAGGTTATTTATATTTATTTCAATTTATTTAATTTTATTTCATATAATTATTCAATTTAATTTTCTTATTCTGTACAATTTTTTTCTTTTTTTTTTCCATTTAATATCATTTTAATATATTTTATTTTCTGTTATACTTTATTTCTTTTTATTTTGTTCTATTTTAATCTTTTAAATTTCATTTCATTTATTTAAACTATTTTGATAATTGTTTAAAAAAATAGAAAATTAAAGATGGATAGACATAAAAAAAATAAAATAATAAAAAATTCAAGAATTTAATTTTTTTTAAGTATAGAATTTCTTCTATATTGTAATAATGTTATATATTTCTACAATTTTAGTAAAATAGAATTTTTCGTATTAGTTTTATTCTTCAATAGAAAAAAAAAAAAAAAAATTAAAAAATACAAACAATTTAACAATAAAAATATATATACATATATATATATATATATATATTTTTTTTTTTTTTTGTAACACCATAAAATATTTAAAAAATAAAATTTTCTAAATATTACTACAGTATGTTTTTTACCCTTTTTCCTTTTTCATAACTTTTCATTTTTTTCATACATTTTATAATAAAAATAACCATTATACAATAAAATGAAAATACTATTGAATAATATATGTCATTCAAAGTATTTAGGAAAGATCAAAATAAAAAAATATTAACAAAATAATAAAATTGTTAAAAAGAAGATATATAAAATTACTATAAAGTGTAATAATAATAAAAAAAAAAAAAAAATTAACAATTATATATTGAAAACATGTAAATATTAACAATTATAAAAAATTGAATGTATATATATTTACAATTTTTAAAGATAAAAGCTATTCAATTAATATATTTTTAGTGGTAATTAAATATTTTTACTTTTCATTCTATTATTAAAACCCCTCCACCCACTTTTTAAAAAAAAAAAAATTTAAACTTGCAATTATTGAAAAAAAAAAAGTTTCATCATAATACTACTCACATTGATTTTTACATGATTTTTAAGAAAATAAGAATATATATATAAAAAAAAAAAAAAATCATTGGAACTCTATGAAAACCTTGATACTATTTCTTAACTCACTATTTACTTTTTGAAAAAAAAAAAATATACATATATATATATATATGTATATATATTACATATATATATTTTGGAGTATTTCAAAATATATAAGTTTAAAAAATAATATATCAATATCATATATGTATATATATATATATTAATGTTAAAAAAATTATTATTTTTACTATTTTTTAATTTTTTATTAAAAAATTTTTTTTATTTGATATTTTAAAAAATTTTGATTTATAATAAGAAATTTGAAATATCCTTTAACATTTACTATTTTTTACATTTAAATTAATAAGATGGTGGAAGTATCAAATGATAAAAGTAAAAAAAAAAAAAAAAAAAAAAAGAATTAAAATAATATGGAATTAAAAGAATTTGTGATAAAAATAGATCTATATGAAAATTTTTTATTAATATTTATTCATATAATTATAAATTTGTAGTAAATTGTATGGTTAATATTTTTTCTTGATATATATATATGTATATATGAAATATATATTTACTATTTAATATACATATATATTTATAATTTTAAAATAAATAATTTTAATTTTTGTAAATATAGAAAATACAGTAGAAAAAAAAAAAGCTGAAGATAATAAGAAAAGTATTAAAAATAATAAAAATAAAATGAAGGTTACAATTAATGATAAAGTTGTGAAAAAGAATGAAAAGAAGAAACTTAACGAAAAACAAAAAGGTAACGAAAAAAAATTAAAGGTTAAGAAAACTTTGGACAAAAATAGTGATGACAAAAAAAAGATAAAAAAAGTTAAATTTGGTGGAAAAAATCAAAAACAAAAAAAAATAAGAACATCCATTCACTTTAAAAGGTAAAATATTAATAATAGGAAAATTTCTTTATTATATTAATGAAATATAAAAAATATATTATTTTATATAAACATCTTTTACATTTATAAAACAATAATTAATATTTTATTTTATATTTATATAGGCCAAAAACATTAAAACTCCCAAGAAACCCAAAATGTCCAAGAATAGTAAAATCATGTTTTAGAAAAACTTTAGATAAATATGGAATAATAAAACATCCATTAACATCTGAAAAGGCTATGAAAAAAATTGAAGAAATTAATACATTAGTTTTTATATGTGATAAAAGAGCTGACAAGAAGAAAATAAAGAAAGCAGTCAAAAGTTTATTTGGTATTACTTGTGATAAAGTTAACGTTCTAAATAGGTATGGATTTTAAAAAAAAAAAAAAAAAAAAGAAAAGAAAAATAATAAATAATATAATTTATTTTAATAAAAATAAAGTAATAAAAATTTATTAAGTAATAACATTGATAATTCATGAAAAATAATCTAAAAAACATATAAATATATATATTTATATATATTTATATATATTTTTTTTTATAGATTAAGTGGTGATAAAAAGGCATATGTGCGTTTATCTCCTGAACATGATGCATTAGAAGTAGCAAATAAGATCGGAATTTTATAAAGAAGAAAAAAAAAAAAGAAAAGAAAATGTAGTAATATTTTTTTTTTT